GCCTAGCTGATTGGTAGCCTAGCTGATTGGTAGCCTAGCTGATTGGTAGCCTAGCTGATTGGTAGCCTAGCTGATCTTTAGCCTAGCTTATTGTTAGCCTATCCGATTGACACCAGGTGGTCAGTGTAACGTGGGCCCCTCCTTTCTCAGCATGAAGACCTGAGTCCTCTCCAAATCAAGTTGGAGGCTCTGAAGATGGAGACAGAGGAGCTGCAGGAGAACATGAGGAGGGAACAGCAGCTGTGGATGAAGCAGCAGGGGATTCTGGTCGGACTCACACAGGAGAACGACGCCAACAGCAAGAACATGGTGAAGCTGCAGATGGAGTTCACTGCCATGCAGCAGAAGAAAATACGTCTGGAGAGTAGGGAGCGTTTCAGTCCTGGTCTCAGTGTTTGTAGAACTTAGGGAACAGTGAAAATATTGTACTGTAGAAGGTACCTGGTACCATTTGGACACGATCAGTCCAGTGTGTTTGTCCTTCCAGAACAACTAGAGTCTGAGCAGCAGGAGCTGACAGATCTGGAGCGGAACATGAAGACACTGAGGAGAGACCTGCTGAAGCTCAACACTCTGCTGAGCAACAACAGACAGCTGAGCCAGGCTCTGGAGCAGGAGAACGTGCTGATGGAGACGGACTTCATCCACACTCTCAAGGCATGGATTCACTTGAATTATTCAGTCTATTTTATTTCTTTGTATTCTGATTCTATGTCAAACTAAATGTTTAAAAAATTGTTTAAATAAAAAATAATATCATATTCTTAGATTGCTTTTTAATCTGATTTTAATCCTCTATGTTTTTTGGTGTATTTGACTTTTTCAGCTGCTGCTGAAACAGTTCACCTGTTGTGGGAGTCATCTCTGCCCATCCCTTTTTTTTTATCTCTTTCCTTATTAATTTATTTCACCTCATCTATTTTGATCTTGTCCTATTATATCCTCTCATGTCACACCTAATCTTCAGGAGGAGCAGCAGGAGTCAGTGGAGATGCAGATGAAAGTGGAGAAGACGGAAGAAGAAAAGGAACGACTTCTCTACAGTCTGGTGGAGGCGGAGTCAGTCACATGTTCATTTTTTATCGCTTTTTTCTTTGTCTGATGCACATGTTCAGTCGCCTGGTTTTGTTTGTGTTCACGTGCGTACTAACTCGTGTGTGTGTGTGTATATCTGGTGTGTGTGTTGTCCTACAGGCGGCAGGTGATGCTGTGGGAGAAAAAGATCCAACTTGTCAAAGAGACTCGATCAGCTGTGGATTTCGATGTTGGTCAGGGAGAAATCCACAGGATGAAGGCTGAGATACACCGCATGGAGGTGAACACCAGAACACCACCAAACTCCTCCTTCATGACCCTGAAGGTCAACAATAATCTACTGTACTATACACTCGCAGGTGCGTCTGAACCAGTTGAAGAAGCAGCAGGAGCAGCTGGTGAGGGAAAGTGAGGCAACAGTGGCCAGGAGAGAAACTCTGGTTCTCCGCAGGGAGGTCATGGACCACAGCTCCCACAAACAGACCTCCAAGGGCGACCTGAGCCGCCACACACTGGGCTTGCAGCGCAAGATCAAGGACACACACAAGGTCAGAGACCTGGACCTGTCTCTACCTGTGTGTCTGCGTGTCATTCAGATTGTTTGAGGATTCTGCATGTGTTCAGAACGTGGCCGAGTGTGAACAGGGAATCAAGGAGCTCCAGGAGAACCAGCAGGTTCTGAGTCAAAGGCTGGCAGATCAGAAGCAGCAGCTGGTGGAAGTGTGTAGCAGCAGCAGCAGTCTGGACCAGGAGTACAGGACTCTGCAGGACACTAAAGACCAGGTGAGCAGTTGAAAAACACTGTGGCTGTGCTGTGGGTACAGAGACGTTCCATCATCATGTTCCTGTATGTGAGCAGGAAGCAGACACAAAAGTTAAGGTTTTCTTGTGCAGGCACAGAGGCATTACAGTCAGTCAGCTGCACTTGACTGGCAAATTAGTCTGAATCTGATATTTTAAAGTCTTTAAAGGGATAATTATTTTCTGAGGAGGACCGTTGAGTATGAGCTTAATGACTCACAGCATTGTAGAGTCTTTGACAACCATGGGATGGTGCTGTACCAACAGTCAGTCTGCCTTCAGTACCAACCCAACATGACCAGACCCATAGTTCTGTACTAAAACACAGAACCCTTGCAGGTCCCTCTACTTCCTGTCTCATCTGTTTAAAAAGTGGATTCTCTGCTGAACTCTCTGTTCATCACAGCTCTAGAACTGGATATGAGTAGATCCTACTGTATGAACTGGGCCAAGATCATCAAAGACGCTGACGTCAGACTTCAGTGTTGGAGTGGCCACACATTGTTCACAGATAATTGTAAGTGGATTAGAATTGTAACAGATGACAGTTTAACAGTAGTTGTTGTCTTTCGGTGACTTCTAAGTACAGCAGAGACGTGAACCGTTGTCCTCTGCCAGTAAGTGTTGGTACTGGGCCAATAATGCTGCAGATTTACCGACATCAACATCACATGTTCCACTCCCTAACAACCACTCCTTCACCCCGGGCTCACGGCTCTTCATCGTTCTCCATTTATTAACAAGTGAACAATGTGTTTTCTAACTTATTGCAGAACATATCTCACCTGGTGGCGCTGCAGAGTCGGGTCAAAAGGTTGCAGGCCGTTCATGATGGCAGCTACCAGGCCCTGTCGACCAGGGAGTCCGTAGAAGCTTCTGTTCAATGCCAAAGAGAACAGATGCAGGCCACCAAAACCATCCTCCACCGGGTGGGTCAGGAGTTCCCTCATCACCAGGGGGCGCTCCGCAGGCTGTCATTAGCTTTGGCTGCACAAACTCAGACTCTGGATCAGGAAATGTGGCCTGAGAGTCAGTGAAGAAGAAGACGTTGCAGTGAGTATAGAAGAAGTAAGTGAGAAGAAGCCACGATCCTTTAGAGTAGTAGTACACAACGTGATGAGTCAAGTCTGAGTGTTTTTGTGTTTTTATACCGATGGTGATATAATACTGCTAAATGAACTGCAAAGACCTAGAAATACTACAGTATAGTCCAAGTTTTTTAGATATACAACAAGACACGGGTCACATGAGGTCATCATTACTGCTTAAATATTTGTGAACATTTAGCAATAGACGTTAGAGCCAGTAGGTGGCGGTAATGCAGCTCTAACAATGCAGAGGTGCAGTAAAAAGTCCAAAGAAGAAGAAAAATTCATTTTAGGGCATTAACAAAAAAAATTGTGTTTTTAGAAACACTATTTGGACGTGACATTTTTAGTCAGTTCAGTTTCTCCAGTTTTTACCAGTGGGTGTTGACTTTTCATCAGTCTGACTGTCCTCCTCTGACCCCAGCTATGGAGAAGGTTTGACTTTGGCTTTGTCAAGTCCTAGAAATGATTTCAAGGGAAAATACCTTTAGATATGCAGAGAAAAAAAACACTGTTCAGATCATGAGAACTCCAACAGCCTTCACCATGTCTCTGTGTTCCTTTCATGTTTCAACATTTTAGGTTAGGGAATTACCCACAAATCAACTCTCCAGAAATATACGCATACGTCAACATACGACATTTTGAAGCGGGCGTGTCCACATCGGAGGACTGGCCTCATTAACGCAGCAGATCCAACCACAGCTGACAACAACACTGACTGTGAGGTGGAACAGAATGCAGAAGAACTAGCTCCTGTGGCTGTGACTCTGAGGCTCGTCCTAATCTGTGTGAGGACTTTCCACATCAGCCCTGAGGCACAGGATGTCCACGGTCAGGTGTGGCACAACAAACAAAGACACACTTGTCTCAGTTTAATATCTGAACCCTGAAATGAACATAACACTGAAGGGGTCTGATGTCCAGGAAGCGTGGAGATGATCTCTAGAGCCTTATGTAATGTATGATTCCATGCTGAAATTGAAGTCATGTCAAAGTAAAAGCCCCACATTTTTACTCTTCACCTGGGAAAGTTTCACTGTAAATCACCATGTCATGTTGCAGCCTGCAGCCAAAGACAAACAGAAAATATATATATACATATATTTGAATCTGGTAAATAATTCTCTTTTTGAGTTTTGTACAGTAGTAAGCCACATGAATCATTTTAAAGGAAAAAAAAAGTTGCAGTAAGTGTTCCCTATGTTATAGACAAAGACTAGTGCTGGTACTGTACCATCCTGAACTGTATGACCTTCATGGCAGCACCGTGGTGCAGCCCAGTTCTGAAGCCAACCTAACGTGTGAATAAACCTGGGTTTGGAATTTTATAGACTGCTGTTGAGGAACTGATGTGCTGTTTTTGTGTTAAAACAATTTTAATGCATCATTTTAAATCATTTATTATATATACACACATATATACACACATATGTATATATATGTGTATATATATATATATAAATATATATATATATATAGCGAGAGATAAAGGTGATTATATATGTATGTGTTTATATAGCTGTATAAAGGTAACCCTTTGACCTTGCACACACACAGACCACACCCTGTTTCCTTCTACAGGTCAGGACTTTGAACGACAGCTGTCAGTGATATTTGCTCGGCTCTGACGTCAGGCGTCTGTGGTGAGAGGGTGGCAGTGCTTTAACGTCAGCTCCAGTCCACAGACAGTCCAGTCAGGAGTCGATGATGTGAACAGATTTTGAAACAAACAAAACACAGCACCCGCACACACACACACAGGTGTGCAGCTCACCTCCATGAGGAGAGACAGAGCCAGTGTTCCAGTTCTATTTACAGCAGCGTGTATTTATACCGACGCTCCTCTAGTCATACAGGTTTTTCCGCCACGCCCACACACACAAACACACACACTAACAACACCCACTGGGCGTGGAAAGTTCCTGTTACTTTTATAATGCTCTTCATGTTTACAGTTTAGTTGCTTCCCGTAATGAACAGGTGATAAGTGTGTTTGCAGCTTCACAAGACCTCACACACACGCACACACACATCACCACCTTCAGGATGGCAGGGGAGTGTGTTCTCTGTGAAGGTCCAGACCTGAAGGAAATGAGCGAGGAGGAACTCTGGAATCTGATTAATGACAACCGCCACCGGATCTCATTAGGCGTGCGTCCTGGCATCCTGATTCCGTACCTGAGGCAGGCCCGGGTTCTGACGGAGATGGATGAGGACGAGATTCTGTCCTCCCACAACCTGACCAACCGCAGCATGAGAACCAGTGAGAGCTCTGTCATTATATAATGTGTTCAAAATGTTGGAGTGTGTGGGCTCAGTGTAGTGTTGGACCTTTGGAACAGTTTGCTAACATTCCAGTGATTCCTGAACTGTAACTGCAGCGAACACACTCGGAAGGAGTGTCTTCACCTCGACAGCATTACACTGAACTACATTTGACAACCGTACCATTGAAGCGTTGACGTAAACATTTGTTTAGTGAGTTGTGATTTTAGGTCAGTCCGTCCTACTTCATGTTTTTCACTGCAGTAGTGGAGTTGTTCTCCTTTCTCACCCACCCATTTCTCATCATGTAAGTTAGCTTGTTCACATGTTGTCCCGCACCTGCCATTCTTTTTCTTGATACCTATCAGGTATGAATGGTGCTCTGGCGCCCCCGAGCGGTGGAGAGTCTCACACATTTTAAAACAAAGGATAAAATGTAACTTGACTGGACTTGATGACCACTTCTACCGTCTACACAGGCTACATGCTGGACCTCTTAATGACCCAGGGTAGGAACGGTGCAGTGGCTCTGCTGGAAGGCTTGATGATCCACTACCCCACCTTGTACACCCAAGTCACAGGACGCCAACCCAGCACGGAGCCTTCAAGGTTCAGTGGTGAGTGGTTGTAGGCCCAAATCTCCCAGCATTGGTGAAGCGGTCAGAGTCGAATCCTACTTCAACAAGTTAAGCCGATAACCCTTCACAGTAAACATTAACATAGGAAAGACTCAGTCCAGATTGATCTATTTGGATCAGATGTGGTTAATCCCAGACATATATTCTGTCACTGCAAGAACACACAGATGCTTCTGAGATCTGACCAGAACTTGGTCTAGTTGGTGTTACTCGACTCACTGATGCTCTTCTCCCTCAAGGATTGATAAAGTACTCCGAGTTGACTGAGTATCTGGTGAGGGCAGTGACGGGGATGCAAAAGGAACTGCAGGAGGCCCGTCGAGAGGCCGGCAGGATGACGGCACGCTGCACAGCCCTGGAGTCGGACATTAGTCAAATGATAGAGCAGGAGGAGAAGTCCAGATGCCTCCAGACTGAAATGGAACGCATGCGACGGCATTTATGCTCTCTGCAGCGTGAGGTCACCAAGCTGAAGGACGAGAAGTGTGAGCTCTACATGCGCTACACGGCCGCCATCGAGGAGAAATCTGCCGTGAACAAGCGCCTCCATGACCTAAACCTTCAGGTAGGTGTTGCTGAGGGGTCTTAGATTTCAGAAACTCCTCATTATACTGCCTTCCCAGAAGGTCACTGAATAATGTCCTGGGTTAGGACATTGAAGATATAGATCTTCACATGTTTGAACGTCTCCCTCCTGCAACACAAAAGTCTAATCTCAAGAGAACAGGTCGCTGTTGAAGGAGTGAAACCAGAGAGTTGTACTGTTGTAGTTTGGGAGGTGTTGTTATATACAGTACTGTACTGTCTTTCAGGCTCAGATGACATGCGTTTACAAATGGTACACTGTTCTAGTTCTTCTAGTTCTAGACTTGGTTGTTAGGCCCTCTTTGTGGTTTGTAATTACCATGGTTTAAACAGGGAACTTAGGTTTTCAGTGGTCTGTAGTCTTCTTCTACAGTCTGTCTGTAGTTCCAGTTCAGATTAGGACTCAAAATCTTTATTTTGTGACTGCAGGTGTATCAGCTCCAGACTGAGCTTCAGAAAGTGCAGATGGAAAATGCATTCCAGAAGCAGCGTTCACTACGTCGTCCCTCCGTCACAGAGACACCGCAGCTCAAAGAGGAAATCCAGAGACTGCGCTGTGAGCTGGACAAGGCCGAGAAAATGGGACCAGTGAGTATCCACCTGTGGATGACAGACGACGGTCAGTGTCATTGGTTAGTTGGTTTTAAACAGTGTGTGTGTGTGTGTGTGTGTGTTCCCCAGGCTCAGCAGGACATCATGGCCCAGGACCTGGCCGAGGCCATCGACAGTCAGGTGGAGCTGGCAGGGCAGCTCAGGTGCTACAGAGAGGAGAATGAAAAGCTGCTGGGGGAGAAACAAGGGGTGAGTGTTTCTCACCATCATTGTTTCACTGTCATGCAAATGAACGTCAGGCAGGAACTACTGATTCTTTTAAACCTGGTGCTGGAGACTCCACAGAATTCAGATTAGTTTGTTGCGTCTATTTTTCTATTTTTTTCTGATCTGATCGTTAAGCACTGAAGTGTCCTGTTTGTTGGTTTTCAGCTTATTGATCAGAAGGAGTGCCTGAACCTTCAGCTGCAGCAGCTGACCCTGGAATGTAACATGCACCAGCAGAAGAGCTCCATGATCCAGGATCAGATGAGGGAGCTGCAGGCAGAGAGGGACCAGGTGAGAGAGCAGAACTGCTCCATCATCCAGACCTCATAAGGTCCAACATCCAAACCTGCAAAACGTTTGCAAAGTTTTTGCCACAAACTATCACTCCTGGACTGAACCAAGTACATTAGTGCTGTAGAACATTGTTTCCCAAAGACTGGGTCGCGACCCTCAGGTGGGTCACAAGAGTTTTTGGGGGGGTCGTCTCACATCATGTTTCCCAGGAGTTTATGAATAATGTCTATTGACTTGGGTCACAAAGTTATGTGACTTAAAATATGGGTCCCCAGAAAAAAAGTTTGGGAAACACCACTGTAGAACACCGAGTGAGGTCTACCAAGCTGAAAACTGATTGGTCTCCTGTCAACAAAACCAGCCAATCAGGATGCGCACTCTCTCTGCCTCCCTACAGTAAACGATAAAAGCTGAACGTTTGTCAAATAAGAGTTGAGAAAACTTTTTTTTTTAATTCTCTGTCAAACCTTCAGATGTCAGTTGTGTTCAGATGTCACCAGTCTCCTCTGGGCTCTGCTGCTCTCTCCTACAGTCAGTGACTACAGTAGCTGTGCACTCATTTGTGTCTCCTTGACAAATGACAGCAATTGTTATCACCTCCTCCAGGAGGAGGCCCCTGCTGAAACACTACTGTTGAAATTAATATCCTGGAGAAGCTTGCGTCATACTCCGCCAGTGACAACCTCAATCCTTAACAACTGCCAACGGTTACAGTGACAACAAGTCTCTTAGCTGACAGCTGTTCCACTGGATCTGAGCACTAATGAAACAACACACACTGGCTTTCGGGAATGGCTTTCAGCTGCAGTTAGTGGCTGATATGAAGGGTGACAGGCAGAGTCTGATGGTCTGACAACAGAGGTCTGGCAGAATGTTCAACCCTCCACTGTTTACCTTCACTGACTCAGGTTTTAGGAGTTATAGAATAAAGGAAAGAGGAGTTTTCTTGTTCCTCTGCTCATCCATTCATGTTCAGTTTCTAATACAGCAATGCAACATCACTTTCGTCTTTAAAAGAAGAGTCAAGCAGTGGTTTGAGTGCTCCCTATCTCAGGTGCCTTGAACAACAGAGCCTGTATGTCAGAAATGTATTCATTTTGAAATTTGATTTTCAGATCTTTTTTTTATTAAGGTGATAGTAGACCATTTAAAATTTTCAAGTTTATTTCTTTACTTTATTCAAGATTTAAGCAACTTTGAGCGGCACAGATTGACAAGGTAACTAAAAATAACTCTCTCATGATTTTCTTTTTCTCCAGGCGTACCAGTCCAGGGATGAAGCCCAGACCATGATCGCCCGGCTCTTGGCAGAGAAGGACTCTTTGCGGTGCCAGCTGGTGGAGGTCCAAGGGAGGGTCTTCAGTCAACAGGCCAAATGCAAATCCAGACGGCAGCAGCAGCAACAACAGAGCTCTGATGTAATTAAAAAAAAAACACAGAACAAAAGTCAGTTAATAAGCAGGAGGAGACCATAGACTGAAGTTTCATTTGTCAAAAGGAGACGGAGGACAACTGGGAATGTCTGAGGTCCAGCTCCGAGGAATCCTTACACTCAAACAGACGCAGGCTGAGACGCATGGATGCAATGAATCCACTGGTTGTGAGTCCCTGCCAGGCAGAGGTGTGTGTTACGGTGTGTGTGTGAAACCTAACATACTTCAGGATCAGATCAGGAAATAATCACCACTTGTTCTTTATGTGGAGGTAAAATGTTAATAAGTTAATGTTTTTATAAATGGAATGAGGAAAACAGCCTGAGTGTGTACAAAGGTCGGCATCAGCAGCAGCAGCAGCAGCAAACAACCATTAAAAATATGTCAAATACTTCTGACAAACAATACATGGCCACGCTATTGTATACTGTAGTATAACTGAATATTTACCCACTCTAACACTCTACCACCTGTGAGTCAGAGATAATGATGAGAAGTGGTTAAAACATTAACTTTGTCAAGTAGCACCATTAGCCTAATGAATGGTGTAAGATCAACAGACAAACCAAGCTGATTTCTGTCCCGTCTGTATCTGTAGATTGAGGACGTACCAGCCAGCAGTGTACGGTCCAGATCTGCAGAACCTCCAGGAGCAGAGTCGCTTCGCAGAAGAGAGATGTTTCTGCAAGAAGACAGCAGGTACGCACACCGTTTAACTAAATGATATGAACTTATCATTGTCATATATTTGGTGTTGGCTGTATTTGTAGAGTGGTCTCTTGCAGTACAGACTGTTTCCCAACAGTGAGTCTGATCCTTGTTGTTGTCTAAAATCATCTTCTTCTCTTCTCTTCTCTCCCAGCACTGAAGCAGCAGAGGTTGAGTTCTTGTCAGACGACTTTGTCATCCTTCCCCATGGTGTGTACACCTCACGTGAACTTCTTTTATCTCTCCACACAAATGTGTGCGTCTGTGTTGACTCGCCTTGACTTTCACTGACGTTGTTCAGCAGTGAAGAACAAAGTGACTCAGGAGTTATTTGTACTTCTGCTTGAAACCTCACACATGATTTAACAGACGACTCAGGAGTTATTTGTACTTCTGCTTAAAACCTCACACATGATCTCTTTTGTTCAGTGGATGGTGAAAAGGTGGAGAGACCCAAGCTGTGCTCCACCAAGAGGTGAGGCAATGTAACTACAACACGAAATTATATACTATATATACTGTATATAATATATGTATATAAATATTTAACATGATGTATATACAGTATGTATATATATATATATGTATTTAAAATATATAGTCACTCTCTGAAGCATCAGCATCATTTTCCCTCCTCTTCATTCTCCAGCTGTGAGTCTGTTCCTCCCTTCCTCCTTCGATGTCGCCCTAAAGCTATGCGCATCAGCGACCGTGTTCTCAGCATCTCCTTCCAGGGGGAGGCGCTGCTCACACAGCTGACAGTGGTGGGGGGAAATAAGACAGGAGTGTTTGTGCGCCAGGTGACGGAGGGGAGCATGGCCCAAACTGTGGGCATTAGTCCAGGAGCCCAGATAGTGGAGGTAGGATCAGCTCTGGTGGTTGAGATTTTTGGGTATCCTTGTGTAGTAATGCATATTCTTTTCATCACTCTGCTGTTTTTCTTCCAGGTGAAGTATGAGCAGAACCAGAAGGCACTGAGAATGGTGCTGCTGGACTCCACCCTAGAAGAAGCCATGTGGGCTCTAGGTCAGGTCACAGGCCTGTGCACCCTCTCCCTGCGGCCCAGACAAGATGGTAGGTCCCACAGGAGAAGAAGAATCTCATTCCCAAAATACTAATCTTGTATTAATGAGGTAGAACTGGTTTTGTTGCATTTTATAGCTCAGTTACTGCAGTAGCAGACAGTACAAACATCAAACCATGAAATAGCTCTACACACACCGAAGACCACCAGACCTACAGCAGCAGTGGGCTGCACTTCTTTAGTTCACTGCAGTCCTGCCAGGACCAGGATTACAACCGGCAAATCTCTGATTAAAAGGCCTATCTTTGACCCACAAGGCCACAGGCTGGCCAAGACTTTATCTTACCATGGGAAGCTAACATTGTTGACACTGCTGGTTTTTGCATTGTGTAATGGATACCACGCTTGCCTTACACATAGAAGGTCCTGGGGTGAAGCCCCAGAGAAACCACATACTAAATTGTGGGACGAGTTAAGGATTTGAATGTTCTTTTTAAAAGCTTCCTTAAACAGGTGAGTGATGCTGCTGCTCTGTCTTGGTCCACAGACTACGAGGCTTTGCTGCAGCAGCTGCAAAACAAGGAGATTTCCTCAGGAGATTCCTTTTATGTACGAGTCAATCTGTCTTTGCCTGCTGGAGACACCGGGGATCTGGCCCTGTCCTGCCACGACATCCTGCATGTGACTAATACAAAACCTGATGGAACCGAGGACTCTTGGTTTGCCAGTCAAGTTCACCCCTGCAGGCTCCTGGACCTCCAGAGTGGAACTTTACCAAATTATTACAGGTAGGTACACCACATCTAAAAGACTAGGTGAGGGGCCTGAAATATGGGCCTTGGGGTATCAGACTTCTTCATTAATGGGAATGGATTTTCTTTGATTTTTTTCAGAGCCCAAGTACTCCTGATCCAAGCCATTGAGGACATGAGCTTTCAAACAAAGAAGTCTCTGAAGGTCAGAAGAATCAAATGTACCCAAAAAGTATCTCTGCCCAAAGTGTCACTGCTTACACAACACTCTGATTGGTTTTTGTCCAATAGTTTGGGCGCAGTGTTTCCCAACCTGAAGAGAAAACTGTGAGGATTGTTAGCACAGTACGTCAGGGCAGAAACCCACTATGGGTCAGTGTGGAGGACGAAAAATCAGGTGAGAGGCTGTGTGCAGAGCCGAATCAGGGACTGGTCATTTTTTAACCTGAACTTGAAGTTGTCAAAATAATTCCATATCCTTATGTTTGTGCCTTTTCAATTCAAAGGTGATACGTCTGCTCCCAAGAGCTGTGTCACTCTCATGCCCTACACCCTGGTCACGCCTCACTACCCACCAGTCTGCAGACCTGTCCTCCTGCTGCCAACTATACTGGGACGCATGCTGGACAAGAAACTGGAGGAGTGGCCTGGCTTTCAGGTCTGTGAACCTGGTAAGAATCACTGATCGGTACTGATAAATGGGATTAAGTCAGACAATAAACGGTTCCTGGAATGACAGATAGGACTGTTTGATTTGACAGCTGCTGTGTTTGACCACAGGGTTTATTTGCAGTTCCCCTCCTCATGTCTCATTATGTAACGACGGTGCGTGTGGTTGACCTAGACAACTGTACCGTTCGCGCTGTACGGTGGTAAATGTTTTATGGCTTTACCTGTGGCTGTTAGTCAGCAATCAGAGGCTGTAAAGATTCATTTAAACGCTGCTGTGTTCACCACAACGATACGTTTATTGACCTCTGTCTAACAGAAAAATAAATAAAGAAATATTGACAGGAACATGATGTCTGACTGTTCTACCGGACCACAGTCTGTAGGTCCGGTAGAGGAGGTGGCCTTGGACTTTTTTTTTAATAAGCATCCGGTCGGAAGCTGACTGTTTTGAATGGATGTGGCTGTGAATGGAGTACCTACATTTGAGTATCACCGTATCTTATCATATCAGTAATATGTGTGCAAAAGACAAAAAACAATCCAAACCAGTGAAAATGTTATGACCTACTGAAGACCTACTGTTTTCAGGATGTAATTTGGGCACTTTTTTATTCCACCTTTCTTGTTGGCTGTGACAGATGTTATTTTCAGGAGGTAAAATTATGCTTCGTAGAAACCCCCCTCAGAGAACAGCAGTACCATCGGATTTACATGTCACCTGGTCTCTGCTGAATATCCTCTCTGGTTTGCAGAGATACTGAGCTCCTGTGAACATGCAGCCCGGTTACAGAGGTCTGACATCCTGGATGGGTGTGACCAGGAAGCCAACTCCTGCTACACTCTACAGGGTGTGGAGAAGATCATGAAGAAGGTCAGAATTCTAACACAAAATACAAAAAGAGTTCAAAAGCTCCACTGACAGGTCACTGCAAAAACACTGGCCTCCTCTCTAACAGGGGATTCACTGTGTGCTGCCGCTGGGCCTGGACTGTGTGCGTCGTCTGCACCGGAGCGAGATCTTCCCCATCATCATCTTCATCAGACAGACTGCACGTAGTGCACGTAAACTGAGGTGAACAGGCTGTTGATGTTGATGGTCATCAGATATTTCTCTACAGGAGTGACTTCATTCAGAAAGATGTTAACACACAAATGTTGAATGTCAAATCTTCTGTCCCTTCCAGGTCGAAGCTTCAGCGTCTGGGTCAGTCTGATGAACAGCTGTTGGCTTGTTCCAAGAGCGAGGAGCCGCTGCTGGACAAGCTGCCGTGTCTGTACCGCAGCGTGGCTGCTGACTCCTGGTGTGACCAGACCTCACTGCTCACCAGTCTACGCACTGTCATCTGGGAGGAGCAGAAGAAGATCGTCTGGGTAGAGCCTGACCTGTGGTGAAGTGGGAGGACCATCAGATACAGAACAAATACAAATATGTCAAGTGATAACAAGGAATCATTTTAGACATGACAAATGTCAGTATGTATCTGTGATACGTGTGAGTAAACTGTGTAAATAGTAAGTGATAATGTGATATGGACATGTTATGGAATGTGACTTTAATCTCTTTTTTTTAAGAGTTAACTAAACAGGCAACTTAACCAGAGTTTTTTTTATTCGGGTGACAGGTTTTTATTCGGGTTTACCTGATACCATGGACCACTAAAAACAAATGAAACAGCTGTGCAGCTGTCTGCACAAATACAAATTTAATAAATAAATAAATAGTACTACTTCACTCCAGTATAACATGCAGTATGACGTGTACTATCATGCATTGCTCAGGAAGTTTTGTGTGGCGGTACTTTAGTAGTAATGATGACTATTAGTACTATAAGTGTACTATACTCACAACAACAATAATCTTAATAAACGTCATAATTATGATTTATTCAAAATAGGTATTTCAAATTAGGTTCTCCGCGGTCTCTAATTTCTTTTTAATGTTGCACTAATAATAGATCCGTGTGAAAGGCTTCAGGTGAAATCAATTAACGCTGAATGACGTCGGTTGCTGCGCACGCGCAGGTGCGATTGTTTCCAAGTTTCCTGACAGCGGTTAACTTCAGGCAAATACAGGAAAATGTCAGGCCGTTAAACACTATAACAATGACATTAAATATGTTTAATATACATAAAATAACTAATTTCTTATATTCGTTATATTATTTCGGATGTCGACTATTATTTTTTCTGCGCACGTAGAAAGACAACTCAGGAAAGACGGCGGAAAGTCAAAGTCGTTGGTGCCACTGTTGACATATTTGAAACATCGTTATTTTGGATCGAACTGAACAGAGAAAACAAACAGTCTGATCAAAACTACAACCAGTGTCGTCTACATTTGTCACTGTAACGTCGAACGTGACACACTAACGCCAACAGTCGTCACGTTGTCAGAAGTACAACGTTGTCCAAGGCCTTCAGCGATGTGAGTATTCAAACGGTTAACGGGGTAGATATTAAATGTTACAGAAAACGTCGTTTATGTTCAGGTAAAATACTACTCTGTGTGAAGTGTAATGATTGTCAACACCAGGCGAACAGGACTTTTACAAAAAAAAAATCACTCATTCCGGGTGTAAAGTTCCTGGGTCTGTATTTTTCTGTTCATGTATATGTTGCACTTTTCCTGGTCTTTAGTTTTACAGCTCGTTTAAAATTCACTTTGTTGATAAAAAAATATTTTTTTTGTTTTGTGTCGTTTTAAAAAATATATATTTTAAGCATATTTATGTCACATTTTAAAGTATCTGTAGGTGGCAGCAGTGAGTCAGCTGCTTGTTTGTGTCTTACTGTCCATTAAGATACACCTTGTCAGAGAACGTGATGTTCAACCCACGTCTAAGTTAATTAATTTAATGTCATATGTAGTTTAGTTTTCTGTCAATGATAAATGAACGCCACCTGCTGGAACATTATCATTGTACTCAGGAGCACTTGCTGTTCAGTATTTTTTTTTCAGAGCCGGACGTTATTGCCGTTAGCTACCACACGGGGGAGGCAGAGAGAAATGAATGAATGTCAGAGGGCGTGGTTAGGAAAGAAAACATGGTTTTTCAGTGAAATAGGAAAAAGCTGCAGACAGAGAGAGAGAGAGAGAGAGAGAGGCTGCGGAAGAGAAGAGAACAATTCGATTTCCGACCACAAATCCTCCATCACTCCGTTGTGTTGTTGCTCTGGCTCCATCCCAGCTCCTGATTTCACTAAGCAGCAGTAACTCAGCACAGTACAAGGCTAATCAATGCCCACCAACCTCAGCCTAAACCTATGTCCCCTTTTTATCAAGTGCTGATTATCGACTGGATCTGAAGGATCTTTTATTTAGAGCAGCACTGAATCAATTTTCTCCTCTGGAAGACATTTTTGGCTCCGCCAGGGTCCAAAACCTCAGCCCTGAAACTGTTGCCAGGAAACCACTCCAGTGATTTGCGTGTTAACAAGAGCTTATTATAGACAATGAGAGTGAGACCAAGAAGAGAGGGAGAGGGAGGGCAAGAGACAGAGAGAGATCCAAAAAGAGAAAAACTGTCCAGTACACATCTGTTCCAGCTTCTCCATCTTTTGGGTTTGTTTTTTCTCACTCCCACACTCACAGTTAGGCAGTGACTCGGGATTACAGTCGGATCGTAATGACAGTGAGAGATTGATTTAGTGGTGGAGTGAACAGGAATAGAAGAACATTGTAGAATTCCTCATTTAATAATTCATAACTCTCTCTAATTGGATCAGGAGGGTTCTAATTATGTTGCTTTTGCATTTATTTTCATCTTTTACATTTTGCTTTGTTTTTAATTCAAATTGTTGTATTTATTTTTCAATAATTACAAAATCTCTCCCCTGTATTGTTTTGACACGACATTACATGTCATCAAAACTCTCCATAATTCTTGTAAAAATGATTTTGCTGCAAGTCATTCGTTTGTTCTTGACAAATTAATGAGCAAAATGCTTGGCGTTGGCGAGATAGTCAAAACATTTAAGGATGGACTGCAGCTGGAGTGATCACACACCTGTTAACAGACCTGTTCAGACTAGTGTTTATGGCTTCACCTTTATATGGTAATGAGCCACGGGTGGGGGAAGGCCTGAGAGGCTTCATGTAACCATGGCAACAGTTGAGAATTGAAAGAGACATGGTCCTGGATGTGTGGTCCACTTTGTTACTTCAACATCACTCTAATGTATACATGTAGACTAACCAAACATATATGACCTGACTGTCTCCCCACAGTTTTGTTCCAGATGAAGTTCTAAAGTTTACATTGTTTGACTGCTCTTCAGTTACTGTAGTACCGTGCTACATCAGCAGCTGTGCCCTTAACCAATGGTCTTACCTGAGAGAGATCCTGTATATGTACTCAGTGAAGGCCAGAGAAACAACATGCTGTCACTTATTTGTCCAATGGTTGAAAAACGTACAGTGTGTCCCTGTAATTAGAGACACTGTAGGAGACACTGTGTCCCAAAGCAGCTTTTGGTCCACGGTTGACCTTCACTCTCTCCAGCCCATAAACACAACCGCAGCTAAAATAACCACCATCTATTAGCTGACCGGCTGTCATCCGGGCCAATCAATACTCTTTGATAATGATGTAATTTAGTCAGAGTGAAGCACAGCTAGTAATAAGACTAGACATCTACCCCTCCTCCTCCTACAGCCTCATTTCATGGGACTAGTCTCAACGCTGTAATGAAACGTTGAACCTTTTGTGTCATTAGTGGAGTCTGTAACACAACCAGACGACTGTAGCATCAGGAAACATCTTAGTCAGGAGTTCTGTCTTGAATTCAACCACATCAGCAACAGACTTTGAAGACAGAACTGATGCATATCTTAACCAGGGATTATTAATGGATGGACTGTTGTGTTTTGGTTTAATAGCGATTGAATCACAAACAAGGTTTTAGGCGCATACTGCCACCTACTGTGCTAGATTGTGTAGTCTTAGGGTATGACCACTGATTCTGGGATAACGCAGCCTATCCCTTATGCCTTGATGTGCATTTCATTTATTATTTCACAGATGCGAATTGTCACGCATGTGTATTGATTTTTAACAGATTTATGATGCATTGTTATATCCCTAGAGTTGAAACCATAAGCCACTCTTGGTGAGTGTATATGAGTAAAAATATACATATCAGGAAATATCTCCAACAAAATATTTGTATTTATAGATCACTGTTGGTTGTTGGAGGACGGTGGAGGAGATTGAATCTGACAGTGTGTTTGTTAGGCTGTGTATACTGCACTGTAGGCCCTCCTTACACTGTTTCTATATGTAGTGTTACAATCTGTGTATGTGTGTGTGTGTGTGTGTGTGTGTGTGTGTTTGCAGGTGTTTTGTGTCTGTGTGTGTACACCTGTGTTGTAAATTCATGCTGAGCAGAGGTCTGAGCCTCAGGTTGATACATGGTTGATCTGACAAGAAACACAGAACCTGCCTGCAGCCACACACACACACACACACACACACACACACACACACACACACAGAGCATCACTTTTCCGCCCCCACCCTGCACATACAGCCTCCACCTCTCCTCGTCCTCTCCTCCCTCCAGGATGCTGGTGAAGACAGTCAGGCTGAAGTGAATGTCGAGGAGAATTAGATACGAGCAGACAATTTGATTTCTTTGTCTTCACGGCTTCCTTCTGCTCCACACATGCAGACAGCTGAAGGTCTGATGCTCACAGACAGCAGACGAGCTGGTCTGAGAGCAGGAAGAGGAGGAGGTCCACAGGAGTAGGCCTGTGGAACACAGCAACACAAAAGAGGGAAATCATCAGGTCAGAAATGGAAGACAGAGGTGGAGGCGATTCACACCAGTAAGAAAAAAAGAACATGCCAGAATCAGAGAGAAGAAGAAACTAACAGAACACAGCAGTCAGTCCAAGGTGATGGTGTCAGTGGAGGAGGAACCAAGCAGAGGCTGTGTCGCCCACTGCTGTCCAACAGGCTGATTGACGTCTGTTAGTAATTCTTTGTATCAGCTCCTATGATGGAGCCTAGTTCATGTGGGAGGTGGGAAAAGGAGCCGTAACTGGAGCCCTGGTTTGTGTTCTCTGGTTTCAGCCACAGCTGAACACACAGAACAGATGGATGAACCCCTTCTACCCCCCTCCTCCCACACACACACACACACACACACACACACACAGAGCAGTGTGCTGAGGTGAATCATGGTCAGAGTGGCTGACCTTGTGGAAATGTCAAATCATTTTAAACTGTGTGGGGGAGTCTGAGGGGAGTACTGCATGTCTCCTGTACCATGTACTGTAGATGGCTGGTTTGACACCAGATCAGGGTCGGCATCAAAAGAGTCTTTTTAGCCCCTCACTGTAAACAACTCCAACAAAAGAGCCGTTCAAGCAGAAAACCATCTTTATGTTCTTTATTTGCTGCATATATTCTTTGAGCTTTCGCTGCTGTTTCCTAAGTGACAATGACCTGATGAACCTGGTCTTTGACTTTGGACGTTCACAAGTCTTTGTCTTCCTGTTGGATTTAGAGATCGACTTGTTTTACTGCTGTGTATCCGGACTTCAGTGAAATATTTCAATTGCTGCAAAGTTCAAATAGTGGGGCCCATCCCCCACTTTGAGAACCACTGCACTCATGTGGCCCTTCATGATTGGTGTGAAAACCTGCAGAGTCCTGTGTGAGTGTTGGCTGTCTCCCATTCAGGGTGGAGGAGGCCTGACATGCTGATGGTGGTCCTGGTGCCACCCTGGGTCTGGCTGTACGGACTGCAGATGAAGCACAGACAGATTTACAGGAGTGAAAAAAATGAT